CATGTCTTCTAAATACAATTGTATTATGACATGATCTGTGCTTAGGGTTTTGCTCAAGCTAGATGAGTGGCCTCTGATAGAATACATTTTTATTTCAGGGCCCTAGAGTAAATGCACAGCTAACTGGAATGGAATGCCTAACATGAGTTCTACATCCCATCAGTTGGTGGAATTCTTGTCCACACAAAATACACACCTGCTTTTGTATATGTGTGTACATTAGTTACAATTGTTTTCATACACTACACATAATATGACCAACACTGGTTCTGTTATGTATCTTTTGTTATTACATTTCTATGTATTTGGTGTGGAGGTCAGAGGACAACTTGTGGAAGCCTGTTTTCTCTTCCAAAGTGTAGGTCCAAGGGATCAAACACATGCTGTCAGGCTTGGCAGCAAGTGCTTTTAGCTACTGAGCCGTCTTGACAGCCCTGTGGTGTTAATCTTTCCATAGACAGGAGCTCTCCTGGAATTAGAGGGAAGGGTCACAAGAGGCTCCAGGGATTGAAGTTCAGTTGTCTGTCAGTGCACACGAGGAAAAATTAGCTCATCTACTTTTTGAGATATTAGTTATCTAGATGCATGTTACTGTGAGATCCAAACAATAGACAAAGAATTGTCTCTTCCATAGATTTAATAACAGATGAGTGATTAATTGGTTACTATTTGTGGACATCAACCTTGAGTCAGTTTGAGGTGGTGTCTTAGTGGCTATTAATGTGAAGAAACATCATGACCATGGCAACTCTTTTTTAAAAAAGAAAACAGTTAGTTGGGGGCTGGCTGACAGTTTTAGAGGGAGAGTTCATGACCACCATGGCAGGGAACAGATAGGCATGACACCAGAGCAATAGCTGAGACATGTACATTTCCTAATTTGCAGGCAACAGGGAGAGAGAGGGAGAGACTGGATCTGGCTGTGGGCTTTTGAAATCTCAAAGCCCACCCCCAGTGACACACCTCCTTCAACAAGGCTATACCTAATTCTTCCCAAACAGTTCCACTAGGGGGACCAAGTATTCAAGCATATGAGCCTATGGTGGCCATTCTCTCTCAAGCCACCACAGTAATAGTCTGTAATCACTGTGTTCACAATTTGTCATTAACACTAAAATTCTGAAATCATAAATGGATAGGTACATGATAAATTAAATGCACATAGGCACATACATACGTATGTGTGTGTATAAACAGATATGTGTCTCAACTAAGGAAACCATGTAGTAATGTGGATTTGGTGAAATCAGAATACATGGCAAAGGGAAATAGAAAACACTTCATTTTTGTATACCCAGGAGAATCAGAGTAGGTTCCAGGAGGCCTTGAAATCTGGGCATGGAAATTCTTAGGCACTTGACTAGCTCACTTTCCCTTTCTTTCTTTCTTTCTTTCTTCCTTTCTTTCTTTCTTTCTCGCTTTCATTCCTTTCTTCTTTCTTTTCCTTTGAGGGAAAATATATATAGCTATGTAGATCCTTGGGTAGCCTGAAACTTGCTATGTAGACCAGGCTGACCTTGAACTCCTGCTTCTGACACATAAATGTTGGGATTTACAGATGTGTAAGTGTTGGATTTACAGGTGTATATCACTTTGTGTGTGTGTGTGTGTGTACACTCCAGTGCATGTTCATACAGAGGTGTGTGTGTATTCACACAGAAGTGTGTGTGTGTATGTGTGTAGCCCTGTGTATGTTCATACAGAAGTAGATGTGTGTGTACCCCAGTGCATGTTCACACAGAGGTGTGTATGTGTGTGTGTGTGCCCCAGGACATGTTCATACAGAGGTGTGTGTGTGTGTGTGTGTGTGTGTGTGTGTATCCCAGTGTATGTTCATACAGAGGTAGATGTGTGTATACCCGAGTGTGTGTTCACATAGAGGTGTATGTGTGTGTATACAACAGTACGTGTTCACACAGAGGTGTGTATGTGTATGTGTGTGTGTACCCCAATGCATGTTCATAAAAAGACCAGAAGAGTTCAAATGGCCTACCATAGCACTCTCCACTTTGTTCTTCAATGAACCTTAAGCTCTCCATTTTGCCCAGACTCCCCAGATTGGCTGTCTCCATCCAAAACCTGGTCTTCTGAGCCATCTCCCTGTGTGCATAATCATGGGGCCATTTAATGGTCTTTGTGAACTACAAAGAACAAAGTGGAAATATTCAAAAAGGTTTTTTGTTCTGTTTTTAAGTATCAGACAAGATCTTAACTAGGAACCAGAGAACCCAGATCGTGTAATCTTCCATGAAAAATCAACAGAGCCTGAAGTTCAGATTATTAACAAACATGCCACCATTAATCAGGACCTACTGGCCAAGATGCCAGCTCATGGTCACAGATGTAGATGGATACAAACTCCTCGTTCAAGTGCATGAAAAAAAAAGTGAAACCCTGATAGAAGTCTGCTTTTACAACCAAAAATCCAGTTGAGGGGAAAACTGGCCTTGAAACTTCAACAGCTAAAAATGCATAAAAATATGCCAGCTATCCTTTGTGGAAATATTTTAAATCCTTGCTGCTATGGGACATATTATATAGACTGAGGTGAAAATCTACTAGGTTAACAGGCTCTTAACTACTAAAGTTTTTTGTTTTTTTGTTCTTAAGATGTGGTGTCAGATATTAAAATTGACCATGAATCGATAGTTGTTAAAATAGTAATAAATAAATGGAACTCAATATTCATTAAACTTTTTCAGCACTCTTTTTTTTTTTTTTCTTGACAACCTCTTGTAGCCCATGCTGGCTTCCAACCATGCATGTAGCAGAGAATGACCTTGAACTGACCCTTCTGCCTTCACCTCCCAAGTGACAGGTGTGCATCACTGCACCTGGTTTATGTGATCCTGAGGGTGCTAAGGAAATGCTCTACCAACTGAGCTACATGCCCAGCTCTGTTTCAAAGCTTCTTAACAGACTTAAAAAACCGGTAAGTGCAATGTACAGCATTAAATGCTTAGGGCTTGCTTATTCTCTGAACTCACTATATTAATATCACATCATGTATAAGATTACTCTACATAACTGCTTGCTATCCTGGTATTGTTACATTCCAGGGGCCTCAGGATAAGTTGATTTTGTTAATCCATTCTAAAACTGCCCTCTACTTTGGAAAAATAAAAAACTCACATGTCTTTTTTTTTTTGCATGGTCTAATATAATAAAATGGCTTATTTTTCTATGTACGTAGGTGAATCTCTGGAATTGGGGTAAGCAAGGTGTTTTACTTTTAAAAGGTGCAAGAGTGTGCAGCATGTTGAGCGAATCAAGTGGGCCTAGCTCTCTGGGTCACTGTGTACTCTCTACTGAATATTCTCCAACTCTTACAAGTGGGCCTAGCTCTCTGGGTCACTGTGTACTCTCTACTGAATATTCTCCAACTCTTACATCTATGACGCTCCTGAAGTTCCAGTCTAGGAGAAATTGTCTTTAAAACTATTCTTTTGGGCTTAAAAGGTTGCTCAGTTGTTAAGAGCATATCCTGCTCCAACAGAGAACCTGAGTTTGGTTCCCAGCACCCATATCAAGTGGCTCACACCCACCTTTAATTCCAGCTTCCGGGAATCTGATACAGTCTCCTGGTTTGTTCGAGCACTGACAGGCAGCATACTGGAAATGTTGCTGAGACTGTAAAACAATAAGTAACCCTGCACCCCATTGATAGGAAAGTAAAATGGTGTGTGGTGATGTCACTACAGAAAGGGCACAGAGGCACCCTAGGATGCTGGTCATGTCATGTTTCATGATCTGAGTTCTACTTATACAGGTATGTTTACTTTGTAAAAACTTCTTATAAGGACATTTTGTACTTTTCTGTATGTATGGTTTACCCCATAATATATTAATGGGGTGCTGCAGGGTAGGGAGATAGCTCAAGTCAGTAAAGTCCTATCTGGCAAGCTTGAGAACCTGAGTTTGATCCCCAACACACACATTTTAAAAACGTCACATGCTGTGGCATACCTCTATAATCCCAGCACTGGGGAAGCAGAGAGAGACGAAGATCCCTGGGGACTACTGTCCAGCCAGCCTAGCAAAACATCTCTGCAGAGGGCCTCTGGGGGTCTCTCGTGTTTACTCCCCTGTGGCCTTGCAGTAATTTGAGTGTGTCACTCCTTTGTTGCAAAACTGCTCCCCAGTGTGGTGATAAAGGGCAGTGGCTGCTGTGGGAGGTGGAGCCTTGTGAAGGGGAGCACTGGCTGCCAGGAGGAGAAACTGATGTCATTTTATGAGGCCTCTCTTAAGCCTCGCAAAAGGCTTCCTGTCTCACCATCTGCTCTCTCCTTCTACATTCCTACCGTGATGCTATCCGCCACCATCTGATGCAGCCAGGAAGACCCTCTCCAGAGAGCAAACTGATGGGGCTGCCCGATGGCTAAACTAATAAATCCATTTTCTTTATAAGGCATCCAACTGCTCTTCCTTGACATTCCATGCAAATTAACTTCCTCCATGTTCTGAAACTTAGCATGTGTGTTCCTGCTGCTAGGCCTTCCAGGACTCTCCTCTTGGTCTAGACTGTTCTTCTTTCATTAACCCCCATGAATCATTCCTTGGCCCCTCGAACCTCCTCTTGAAAGTGCTGTTTTTACTGGGGGCCTCCTTGACTACCTTATAAACTGTAAGAACAGCCTCACCCTACTGCACCCTCCTTTCCCAAGGTCTCCATCACTTCCTTCAGTTTTTCTCTAGCACTTGGCACTTTTGATAATGAATAATGAGTGTGGGAATTCTCACATTTTGTTGACTGTTGTATTCCAAGTGTCAGGAACAATATGTGGGGCCAGTGAGGTTGCTAAACAGGAATTGCCAGCAAGCCTTGTAACCTGACTTTAATCCTGGAACCCCATGGTGGAAGGAGAGAACCTACTCCCAAAACCTGTCTCACCCAAGCCATGGCATGTGTGCGTCCTGCCACCCTTCTCTCCACACATAAATGAATAACTCTAATAAAAAAATCAATAACAATGTGTGATAAATAACAAGAACTCAGTTTATAACTGTAGAATGAATTATTTTATTGGTTGCCAGTACATCAACTTATTCACCTTTGCAATAAATAATGACTAAGTAGAATACATAAGGGTAGATCTTTGGTTTAGTCAGTAAAGGTACTTTAAATAGGCAAGATATTGCTCTCCATTTTTAAATAATTCACCTGACCTCTCCAAATAAATTATATGCCCCAAAGTTAATAACTGCTTTTTCTTTTCCCAATAGACTTTCACTAAACCAAGAACAAATATAGTGAGTCGCACATGCAACAAAGACACAGTTATTAAAATATAGCTCAGTAGTGGCCACACATCAGAATGAGGAGGAAATTTAAGCCTTAGAGGTGATACAAGCATAATAGCTCGATTCATTTACAAGGCTATTCCTTTCCAGAGAAAGGTTAAACAGATAACACTCGAAAAAGAAAAATCAACAGATGTGCTGCTGGCTTCCCTGTGTGACCTTGAAAGTACATTAAACAAGGTGAAGTTTGCTCCTTCTGATTTGATGACCTCATGCTGTTTAAAACAAACAAACAAACAAAAAAAACCTTACTTTCATCCACCTGACTCTTGGAAAATTCCAGAAACTTGTTTCCCAGAAATGACAAGTTCATAGACCAATAGCTTGAATGTATTTATGTGAAAAGCTACAGCTCAGTCTTGAAAGCTTTCAGGGAACTTTGGCCTTGAAGACATGTATCTTCTGGGAGGTGTTTCTACACACATCTATCTCACAGGGCAGCAGCTCCTCTTCCTTCCTCCTCTGGGGAGGACCTGGAATAGTCACTGCTTCTGGCAACAGATGTCATGACACAATCACCAATCTGTAAACCACTAGTCACCTTTGAGGTAAGGCTGGGAGCAAGAGCCAAAGGTTCTTGAGTAAGTTTGTAGTGACAATGCCCATTACTCAGGGAGACCAATCTTTAAAAAAAGGAGGGAGTGGATTTCTCATTGTGAAATAGAAAATCCCACCAGGCACAGTAATGCACCCCTTTAATCCTAGTGCTGGGGAGGCAGAGGCAAATGGATCTCTGAGTTTGAGTCCAGCCTGGCCTACAGAAGGAGTTCCAGGACATAGAGGACTGTAGAGCAGTCATGGCTGTATGGAGAAACTCTGCCTCAAAACTGAAAGAAATTCCAGTCACACACTAACTCTTATAAAGATGTGGGCTACAGTAAAAGTTGGTTGTAGAGAGAAAGCATTAACTGGATCAGGACTTGAGATGAAGAAACATGTTAACATCCTAACATATTGATGTGAACCTAATTCACATTACTCATGAAAATTTGTACATAAAGCCCTCTTCTGGGACATGTACACAGAAAGTCAGCTATACCGTGTTCAAGGATTCCACCTATAGTTTTTAGTGCCCTTTGGTCATTACAGAATAGAATGCATACTGGCCAATAGTTAGCTCTGGGTCTTCAAAGAGGAAGATGTTTCACAAGGGAATATATATACCTGTAAATGTACACACTTTAGCATTTATATATCTATATGTACACACATCACTGTGTCCCTACAAGGAAACACATTATCTACAGAATGGCAAATAGTAAGCCTGATACTCACATAATAAAGCAGCTTTCATTCAAGACACTTAAACAATATACTCAGGCATCTTGATTTAGCAAGACAGAGTTTGCTTTCATTTTCCAGCCTAATTAACAGTGCAGCCTCTCCCCCTACCCAAATGAGCTCCTGTGAAATGGCTGCCGGTACAGGATGGTAAGTTTTGGCCTTGAAGCCACCATGGGTTTCTCCTAAACACATACATAGTTGTCATACTAGTTAAATCACTCTGTCCTTTGCCTTCTGGAAAAGTTAGAATCTGCCAGTGTAAACAAAATTAGGAAGGCTTTCTGTAATGAGAGAATTAGCTCTGTGATACACAGCTTGCCATGGGGACTTCTCTAGAGACTGTCCTCAGCACATGAGAAAAGTCTCACACATTTTATCTGTTCAGATTATTTCTGGATTCATAGACAACACTGTAGGGATAGGACTTTGGCTTGGAAGATTTTTATTTTAAATTAACAGTACAAAAGGGGAGGGCTCTTTCTGCTAAAATTCTCCCATGACCCCAACAAACCTGCAGTCAAAACCTAGAGTTCCTGGCCACGTGGTCCTCCCTTACTCTCCCAAATAGCAGTAGTTGTGGTTCTGGCTCTGTGAGAAAGCCAAAGGGGCTCTTGGGGAGAGGACTGGAGAGTAGCCACAGTCATCAGCAGCAGTTCACAGGGCACAGAGATCTACTTACCCATGCTCCCATAGCAGCCCCCTCGTCCTAGGGGACACATGGAGTCCAGAGCCCTAGGTGCCCACTCCATATTGCCCCAGTAAGGCCTGGCATTGTCCTGCCATACAGGTAGCGATCGTCTTGCAGGATGTCACAGTTCGGTCCCATAGATGGCTTTGTGACGTAGATATTCTTCTAAACACTGAAGGACGTTATCGTCTACCTTTGGGTCAAACTTGTTGGCCAAGAGATGATGGTTCTGAAGTAGCCAGTGCAGGTCCCCAGATCCATAAATACAGACAGCCCGCTGGTGGATGCCTGAGCAAGGTGTGTAGGGCGCCCCCCTCTCAATGTCTCCCTCGTGGCTCTGCCACTTGGTTAGCCTCGCAATAGATCTCATGTCTGAGAGGTCAAATTTGTGGTGCAAGGGAGCTGATCCAGGCATCCATGAGGCACGCTGGAGGGTGGCCCATAGGTGTTCATCAGGACTATAGGTGTCTTTTACCCATTCAATTAGTTGTTGGGCTTTGGAGTTGTTTAATACCTGTTCAATGAAGTCTCGAGAAGCCACCATGTAGGCATTCCCAGTGAATATGGTTATGTTATTTGGTGGAGGGGTTTTCCTCTTGTTGGTTATGTACAATGTGTCTTTCACTTCATATCGGTATTTCCAGCGTAATGTTTTATGTGGCGGTGGTACCTCTGACTCCATGCTGTTCTGCCCATTCAAAAGCTTGAGGGCCTGGACCATCTCAGCATTTGTCTTGATGGGAAAGTCTGTCCCACAGGTGTTCAGGAGGTATTTCCATGGCACGGAGCTCTGGAGCAAGTCTTCCATGCAGTTCAGGTCAGCCTGTACCCTGGACCAGGAAGCATAGACCACTGACACCAGCTTACTAGCTATGAAGACATTTGGGAAGCATGATGCAATGGCTCTGACTGCCTGCTTGAAGATTTCCGGGGACTTCTGGTCCACATGGACACAGTATATGTTCTGGCGGGCGTACACAGCTCGCAGCAACCTTTCAAAGTTCTCGATCTTCTCATGGACCACCATAGAATATGCAATGGGGAAGTCGGCCTCTCCTTTGCTCAGCGAGAACTGTATGAACTTCCTTTTGGTCTTGAATTGCTCGCAGTCTGCTGTCATGCTAAGGTAGTCGACCTCTGTGAGGGGCTGCCGCTTCTTCTTAATCTCCAGGTTATTCAGCAGAGCCTGGATCACCGCTTTGTGCTCCCCTCGAGTGACCCCGGAACAGTTGATGGACGTCTTTGCTGGCAACTTCAGGTTCTTGTACAGGAAATCCCTGCAGTACTGGCTGCGAAATTCCTTAGAGTCCAGATCTAGGACATTGAAGTCACACTTCAGTCTGAGGGACAGTTTCAGGGCAATGATGGCCAGAAGCATGTAGCAGCCCACGGTCCACACCTGATAGCGCCAACAGACTTTCTTCCACAAAATCATCTTTGCAGGTGGGGACCATCCAGCAGCCTTGCCCAGCAGAGGAGGTGGGTGGGCTCGCTGAACAGAACAAAGAACTTCGGATTAAAAATTAACTAAACATGTTCCCAGGAATGTCAAGTCCAACTCCAAACTGGTGGCAGAAGAGATTGCTTCTCTGGAGAAATAACTTAGTAAAGGGGAACCCATCCACCTGGTTAGCTGAGAGAGACTCAAGACAGCCCAACCAGAGCCGATGGCCACACTATCAGGGCGGCTCCACCCGTACCTCTGTGGAGAGGGAAGCATGGAGCTGGGTGTTGGGCCTAAGAAAGGCTTGGATGCGAGGCCCAGTGTAAGCTCCTGAGCCTGACTTGAGTTTTGGGCTCAGATGTGAGGCCCAGTGTAACCTCTTGAGCCTGGCTAGAGTTTAGCGACCTGTCTCTAACCTGTAACCTCCATGTGGGGGTGACTCAGCCAGATCTGATGCAAGATTGCCCCCTGCCTAGCTACCTGCCTGCTTGGTGGAATACTATTGGCCCTTAACTCCTCAAGTCACCTTACCCTATCCCAAGATTCCCATCCCCTACCTCAGTCCTATATAAGTTCCTGTGTGTTGGAATAAATCGAGATCCTGCTTCGACAGACTCCCGACTCAGTGTGGTTTTTTTCTCCCTGGTAACTAAAGGGGGGAGGGTCTGAGTCGTCGACACTCACCATCCCACTCAGCCCCTGGGAAGAGGCCAGCTGGACCAGCCCTCCCCCCCCCCCCACCTGCAGGGAGGACCCTGCTGCTGGGCTGTCTTAGTTAAAGGTGCAATTAGCTGGAGGATGTCCCCACCCTTCATCCCTTTTCCTTCTTCCCACCCCTTGAAGCCCTAGACAGAAATTTTATCTGGGGTTTAGAATGTCTAGGTCTGGAAACTAAAATACATGAGATTGACTCTAGCATCAGTTCCAGAATCAAGTCCTTTTAAAAGGAAACACTTCCTTGCTTCTGTTTGTTAATCTCTGTATTAAGACTCTCCTCTCCCCTAAAGCATTCAATATTCAGATCTTGTATCTGGTTAACCTTTCACTTTAAAATGCCCTTAAAGAAATAGTAGACAGCTGGACATGGTGGTGCACACGTTTAATCCTAGCACTCAGGAGGCCCATGCAGGCAGATTTCTGAGTTTGAGGGCAACCAAAAATTAACAGCAGTCAGTCAAACACTATGTCTACTTTAAAATATCTCCACAGAAGTGAGTGTGGTCATGTGCACAGAGCACTTATTGTTTGTGAACCAAGATTATTTCTTTACACTGTCCCATTTAATTATCACAGCCAACTAGTTATCACTAGGCTCGTTTTACAACAGAAAAACAGTAACTGAGTGATTTATCAAATATCACATGTTAGAAGACTAGAGATTTCCCTCACTCTGCCTTCTTGAGTCTTTATATCTGTGAGCCTAATGCTTATTCCACAAACCACACCTACCTTTTAAATACAACACAAGGTATTGGATACCACCAAAAAAAAAAAAAAAAATGAGACAAGGGAAGAAAATCTCAAAAAAAAAAAAATTAAAAGTACAACACACCCTTCCAGCAGGTTCTTTTCCTCTGGTTCATCCCTTTATGAACCTAACATTGTATCCTCTTCAGGAATAACGTTTGGGGGTAAGATTTAAGAAGAGGGAAAATGAAGGAAACTCACCTTTCCTAGCCTGTTGGTTGCTTCAGGGAGCTTTCTCCAACGGTGTGAGTCTATGAAGTGAAGGCTAGTTTGATTCTATGTAGATAAAAATTAGCACTACAGTCCTTGCCTTCTTACCTTCCAGAATATATTTGCTGATGTCCACAAGGAGGCCAGAGACCACACCCATGCTCCTTAAGCCTATGCAATCCAGGCTCCTCCTAAACTAACTATGCAGAGGAGACAGCAGCAGGTGGCTCTGTCACTCACCTTTTGATTTCCTGTTCTCAGAAAAGGGAGTGAACTTAGGTAAACCATTCAGGACTGTATTCTCAGGCTCGAGTCATTCTGGGAGGTGAAGTGAAGAAGGCAGGAAAAAAGCCGGCTGCATCTGAGAAAGCAAGAAAGTACTTCAACTAGAAAAGCCCAGTTCCCACCTCTGCTCTCCTGCCCCGACACTATTCACGGGTGCTCATGTAAGCAAGCCTTTTCCTCTCCCACCCAATGCACAGGTGTATCTCTCACTGTTTGGAAGTAAACATGTCACTGATTGTGTTCTTATTCTACACACACACACACACATACACACACACACACACACACACACACACAGCAAGTACTGCAGAGTCAAGAAGAAGAAGAAAAAAGATACAAGTTAAAAAAGAAAGCAAATTGCCTGTTTTCAAGTGATAGGACCCTACATATTCAAGTCCTGAAACTCCACCAGAAGACTTAGATCTAATAAATACCCTCAGCAAAGACGGAAGATACAAAATCAACACTGCAACTCACTGTGAAAAAAAGTCAGGAAGCTGGTACCAATCGTAATAGCCTCAAAAACAAACAACACCAATTAGGACTAAAACTTAGCCAAAGATGTGAAAATCTGGACAAGGAAAGTGACAAATCTGCTGGGCATGGTGATGCATGCCTTTAATCCCAGCGCTTAGGAGGCAGAGGCTGGTGGATCTCTATGAGTTCAAGGCCAGCATGGGCTACATAGTGAGTTCCAGGTAGTCAAAGCTACACAGTGAGACAGTGTCTCAAAAAAAAAGAAAGAAAGAAAGAAAGAAAGAAAGAAAGAAAGAAAGAAAGAAAGGAAAACCGAAGAGGAAGAGAGGAAACGGGGACGGGAAGGGAAGGAAGAAAGAGAGAGAGAAATTACAAAGCACTAAATGTATGCTAGGGTTTCAGCACCAGATGTATGCGATGGGGGCACAGCTAAGAGAGTGTTGATGGACTGGAGAGATGGCTCAGTGGTTAAGAGCACTGACTGCTCTTCCAGAGGACCTGGGTTCAAGTCCCAGAACTCATATAGCACCTCACAACTGTAACCTCAGAGTCCAACACCCTCACACAGATGTACATGTAGGCTAAAACACCAATGCATATAAAAATAGAAATAAATAATTTTTAAAAATTGTTTTTTAAAAAGAAACTGTTGACAGCTCCATGGCATGTTTAAGGGGAAGTTTCTTATTGTTCCTGAACGATGAAAGAGAGAGAGAGAGACAGAGAGACAGAGAGAGAGAGAGAGAGACAGACAGACAGACAGACAGACAGACAGACAGAGTCCAGAGCAGAGAGAAAAGAAAACAGATTGGATTGGACATGGCCATGAGAGAAAAAATAGCCAGATACATCTGTAAGAATTCAAAGCAAAGAGAAAGTAACAGCCAGGGATACATTACTAGAGAAAGGTGAGTAGCAGGGCAGAGGAGAAAACCTTGTCTCTTATAAAGAGGAGGGAAATCTGGGGAGGTGAGAAGACCTAGGCTGCTGGTTTGAAATATACAAGTACTTGTGAGTAAGGATGGAGAGCCTGGAGGGCAGCATGGGTTTTGACAGGCAACCACAGGGATGTCAAAGGAGTCAAATGCCCCTTCTGCAAAGCAAGGGAAATGACTCCTTTTGGCAGATCTCAGCTGGCTTCACAAGTTCCTAAGGAATGCTGGGTTTCATCCAACCATCAGAAATTCTCCCATAGTCCAGCTTGAGTTCATTTCTAGACATAGGGACAGCCCGACACCTAAATATGGACTGTCTGAGACCTAACACTAAAGAAAGATAGACACTTGAAAATAGAAATACTTCCCATATTTGGCAGATTATTGAGGAAATGGTCATTTAGAAAAGTGATCTACAAATTCTTGCAATCTTCATCTAAATCTGAGTGGAATTTTAAAGAGAAATGGGGGGGGAGACTCTAAATTTATATGTAAATACGAAAGACTCCAAATAGCCAAAGTAATTCCAAGTGAGGAATAAAAGGCAGTATTAGAAGTACCAAGCACCTGACCTTAAAGAATACTACAGAGTCGTTGTGACAAAACAGCATGCTCCTAGAATAAAAACAGACACATAGAACAAAGGGAACGGAAGACTTAAAAATAAACCTACATTGAGCTGGGTGGAATGGACATGCCTCTAACCCCAGTACACTGGAGGCAAAGGCAGGTGGGCCAGCTTGGTCTACATTTCAAGTTCCAGCACAGCCAGGGCTAGATAGAAAGACCCTGTCTCAAAACAAAACAAAAAATGAAATCTACACTGAAACTGTCATCTGATTCTTGGTAAAGGGGCCAAAAATATGCATGGAAGAAAAGACCACCTCTTTTACAAGGGGTGTTGTACAAAAACCACCCCCTGTATAAAAACCAACTCAAAACAGGTCAGAAACTTTCATGTAAGACCTGAAACTTTGAAACTACTAGAGCAAACCAAAAGGGAAATGCTTCAGGGTTTTAGAAATAAGACCAAGAATCTACATAGGGGCTGGAAAGATGGCTCAGTGGTTAAGACCACTTGCTACATTTGAAGAGGACCAGAGCTTGGTTTGGTTCTCAGCACCCATGGCTGCCAGTAACTCCAGCTTCAGGGGATCCAGTGCTCTCTTCTGGCCTCCACAAGTACCCACATTAACATGGCTTACACTAACACAAACACACACATATACTCGTAATAAATCTTTTAAGGGACTGGAGAGATAACTCAAAGGTTAAGAGCACTGGCTGCTTTCCCAGAGTTCAATTGAGTTCAATTCCCAGCAACCACATTGTGGTTCACAACCATCTATAATGATGTCCGGTGTCCTCTTCTGGTGTGCAGGCATTCACACAGGTAGAACACTATATATAACAAATAAATAAATCTTAAAAATAAACGAATAAATCTTTAAAAAGAAGTTCAACAACAAATAATCCAATCAACAAATGGGCAAATGAATTTAACAATTTTCCAATCCAGAAACACAAATAGCCAATAAGTACATGAGAAAATGTACCCATTCCTGAGCTATCAGGGATGCAAATCATTGAGATTCAATCTTACTCCATTTAGCATAGCTATTAAAAAAATCAAATGTTGGTAGGATTGGTGAACCCTTGTACATTTATAGTGGGGATATAAATTAGTCCAACCACTATGGAAATTGGTATGTAGATTTCTCAAAGGTAAAAATAAAATGAAACCTCTCTGTGACCTAGGTATACCATTTCTGAGTATCTACCTGAAGGTACCAAAGTCAGCTTACCATGGAGATACTTGCAGACTCATGTTCATTGTAGCACAATTACAACAGCCAAGTCAAGAAATCCATCTAGATGCCCATCAACAGATGAACAGAAAAAGCAGCTTCAGAAATTTGGGTACATCATGTTTACTCTCCTGTGTACTCTGGCATGGGGAGGGAACCCGGAATGGGCGTTTATGGAAATAACAAGGGGCCAATAACGATATAGAAAGGGAAAGAGAATATGGGGGAAAGATGAAGTAATACATGAATAAGATCAAAGCACATTATATATGTCACTAATTTGAAAAACTTACTTGTTCAAAATCAGGAGTCCTTTATGTCTGTCTGTGGCAGCTGTAGCAACAGAACTACCCACAGCCATGCAGAGTAGATCTCACTATGACATCTGACGGCAGAGTGTTGCTGATAGTCTAGAGAATGGATTATACTATGGGATTTGGGCTTCTCTGAACACCTCAGATGTGGTTTTTGCAATGAAGTGTGGGAGATGTCTTTTTCAAAGCTCCTGGCGCTGGTCCCATCCCCAACTACCTCTAACAAAGGGCACCATTCCCTGGCAAACATCCGAAGAAAACAAATTGAACAGAAGGGACGTATCTGGGAGGTTGGGAGTATAGATCCATGGTATAGTGCTTGCGTGGCATATGTGAAGTTCAATCACCAGCACCCCCAACCCCAAAGGATCAAGGTATAAAAGCAGTAACTGATATTTGGTGACATTCAGGCAGGAGCCATTGGAAGTAGCTATTACTTCACTATCCCTTGACTGGAGAAAGCAAGAAATGGAGAATTGCCAAAATTGAAATTTGGACAGGGAGCCCCTACAAGCTTAAATTCAGACCTCCGAGGAAAGGGTCATTGCTCAGCTAGAGCTGAGGTTGCCCTCTAAGCTCAGAGTCCCTAGGCTGAGATCCAGACCTCTTAGAGGCAGCAAGGGTCATTCTGTAAACAGGCCATAGTGCAAGTACAAAAATAACATGAACGGCCTCTAAAGGGTCAGTAGGCGTTGACATGGTGATGCTCACAGAAACAGGAAATAGGAAGAGAACCGGAAGTTCCTCCTCCAGCCTGGCTATTTTTACCAGCGCCCCCTACTGGCAGAGCCTTGCAAGCGCAGCTGGCAAACCAGACTAGTCTTCTAACCTGCCTCCAACATCACAAAATAAGGTCTGGAGAGACTGGCCTCGTCAGAGACAATAAATGTACATTTCCACTACTTTAAATGCGGCAAACAAATCTTTGTTGTTTTTTTTTTCTTGTCCTCCTTGTACTTTCTGACTAGTGATGAAAACCCATCAAAAGCAATAGAAATGTGTAGGGTTTCCAGCGCCCCTACTTTCATTGGCCGGGTTCTCTGAGTTCTGTCTTCTGTCAGCTTCCAGGGTCTTTATTCTCATGAGGTTCCATTGTTGGTCTGTAAAGATCTCTGGGTCAAAAATATGAAAATATAAACATCTGACTCCAAAATCCAAGTCTAGAAAAGTCTCTCCAATATCCTTTTATATGGTCTTTTTTTAATAGTCAATCCTGTCTAGTTCCTCTGCCCCATAAAAACTTGCATTATAGAGTCAGTAAAGAGGACATATTTTATTCTTAAAATAACACAAAAGGTACTCTTGCGTGTAAATGTAAGTGAGAATCATGCTAGCCAGTTGTGGAATTATTTTGTGGAAATAATCTGCATGTAATTGACACCTTGTGCAGAGTAGTTAAAAATAAGTGTGGGACTTCACTGAAAAGGCTGTGTCTGAATCTTTGTCCTGCTGGTTTCTGCCTGGGGCAAATGCTTCCACCAGTCTGTGCCCTGGTGATGTCTCCTGTACCGTAGGTACTAACATCTCAATTGCAAGGCTTTTTGTAATGACTTATTTTTTAAAAAATATTTCTAACTATGTGTATATATGTTTGGGATACGTAGTTGAGTGGAAGTGCCCAAGAAAGTCAAAAGAGGGTGTCAGAGTCACCCCTGGCATCAGGATCTAACCAGTTGGCAATAAATTTATATATCAGCAATCACACTGTATATTTATTTTGTTATGGCAGCATTTACCTGGGCCAGATGGGAGTTTTAAGGTCATGGGTCTTTGTTTCTGCTCCCTCTCAGAACTTAGTCATAGGCAATGGAATTCTGAGGCTTTTCAGAAGAAAACGGTTGTTTGCAGGGTGGGTCATGGGTGTCAAGGGTTATAGGTAGCAAAGGCAGTCCTGGTTGTCTTTACAGAGGAGGAGACTGTGATTCAGAGGGGCAGTACCTCAAGCCCGATAAGCAGGAAAACCAGGTTCGTGTGTTGCCGATAACACAGGAACTGGAGTTTTCAGAGGGGAAGGATGGTGAAGAAGATTCTGGGGAGGGCATTTTGAACTCAGATCATAATGTCTCAGGACAGAGTCCCTAGCCAGAGAAAGAGGTAACAGATCCAGTGAGATCTACTTTGTTTTAGGGGGAGTTGTAAGCTGTAAAAGCACAAGCTCGGGGCTGGAATGGTGGCCCAGTGGTTGAGAGCACTGGCTGAGCTTTCAGGGACCTAGGTTCAATTCTCAGCATCCACACGACAGCTCACATACTGGTTGTATAAATCCAGTTGTGGGCATCCAACCCCCTCTTCTGGCTCTTGTGGGTGCTGTACACAAATGGTACGCAGACATATATTCAGGCAAAATACTCAGACACATAGAATTTGTGTGTGTGTTTTGTTTGTTTTGTTATTGTTGTTGTTTATTTTTTGATACAGGGTTTCTGTGGCTTTGGAGGCCGTCCTGGAACTAGCTCTTGTAGACCAGGGTGGTCTTGAACTCTCAGAGATCTACCTGCCATTGCCTCCCGAGTACTGGGACTAAAGGCGTGTGCTACCACTGCCCAGCCCACATAGAATTGTTTTTCAAGGAAAAAAATTTTAAAGAGCATGCTCAGTTGTCCCTTACTCAATATCGAGGGCACCCGGCTCCTCCTCCACCCTCTGTAGGCATTCAGCAATCTTACTCCTAGACACACTCCACATGGCGTAGGGTGAAACAGGGAGAATGTACGCATCTCAAAGAGTATTTGTTTGCACGCAGAGGAGCCAAGGCAGTAAAAGAATGATTTGGAGTTGCATGATCCAACCAGCTCCTTCTTGTTGTGCATTTGGCCAGGGTCACTTGTCAACTGGGGCATAAAGGGACCTTATTTCTTTCCTCTCCATCTTCCTGCCAAGGCTGGACTGCACACTTCTCAGTGGCCCTTGTTGCTTCTATGGACCATACCTCAGTGGTAGCCTCAGTCAGACTGTTTTCATGCCTCTTATGCCAGCTTACCCCCCTCCCTGTACTATCAGGAGCTTCCCAAGGGCAGTGACCATGTGGCCCTCTTTTGCCTTCCTCACAAGAGACCAAGAACTTGGTGGTGAAGGAGTCTCCTTGACTGCTGTCTTGAGCAGCTACTTCAGCACCCTGAGAGAATGAGTAACCTTTTAAGTCCTAGGACTGTGACTTACTGGTAACTCTAGGAATTCATAGACAGAAGCTCCCTGAAACAAGCATTACTCCACACACACCAACACACATCCCAACACACATCCCAACACACATCCCAACACACATCCCAACACACACACACACACACACACACCAAGACACACATACCAACACACACACACCAACACATAGCCACCAAGACACATACACCGACACACATTCTCAAACACACACAATAAATAAATAAAAACAAATATACAAAGCAAAGGACACAGAACATTAAAGACACTAGTACAGTAGAGACATGTCACAAGCCCTGGGTTGCAGACTTCTGGGCTTCATTTGTGTGAGGGAGAAATAATTCCTGCCATTACTTTTTCAGGAACATTCACAAATCCCTAGCTCATACAGACTCATTTTCTAATGGAGGGACGTTAAAAATCACATTTATGGGGAGGGGGGACACATTTCAGAGTAAAAGTCCAGGTCAGAGGGAGGCAGGAGCTCCGGTCCTCCCTGCCACCACCTCCTCTAGTCCCAGCATGTGGTTCATCTTTGCTTCTTCTATGCAAACACAAATCAGAGAAAAGTCAGTGTGTGAGTGTGGGGGCCTAAATGTCAACCACAGTGCTGCGCTGAGTAGTGGCTGCTGCTTTTCTGTTTCCTCGTACGGTTTTTATGCACTTCTTTTTTGTTTCTCTCTGTGCAGTTCTGGTTATGCACCGATTTCTAAAAGTTATTTTGAATTTACCTTAGGAAATAAAAACCAAAAGAGTATTTCCTTTAACTGCAGAAGCCTAGTAGGTGCTTTCCCTCTCTGGGCAGGTGTGTGTGTGTGTGTGTGTGTGTGTGTGTGTGTGTGTGTGTGTGTCTTGTCTGCATTATTGGAAGAAGGGGGTTCTATGGGTGGGTGAGTTTAGGTCAAACCAGATACTAGTAGAAATCCTTTTTATGAACTCTGAATGTTTTATAACAATGAATGACAACCACGGACTCTAAACATGACAGCTAAACACTTACACTATCTGCCACTCACAAGGGGTCACTTCATACCCTTTTATTCTAAGAAGAATAGTATGGGGTAGATGCATAGCTCAGTAGTAAATGCTTATCTAACACACAGAAAACACTGAGTTTGACCTGAAGCAACACACACACACACACAAACACACACACACACACACAAAGAACATTGTCTTCTTTGAACAAAAATGACCGCTGTGTCAACTATTATATGAAAAAGAGAAAAATGCATTAAATGAAATAATATACAATACACTTTGGTCCTGTTTTTGTTCCTTTTTAATTATTATACAAAACTCTACTGGTGAGTTGGGGAGATGGCTCAGATTGCTATGCAATCTGAAGACTTTAGTTCAAATCCCACATGAAAAAGCCAGACACATCTGTGTGTTCCTGTGGGTCAGAGGCAGGTAGTCCTGGGAATTCACTGGTCACCCAGCCCAACCAAAATGGTGAGCTTCTGCTGCAGTGAGAGAACGTGTTAAGGCAGAGAGTGAGAGAGGAAGGCACTATTGTCTCCCTCTGTCCTTCACATGCACACACAGGTGTGCACTGCACCTCACACACACGATTTTTTCAGTAGCAAATGTAGGGAGTATTTCTAGTGCTCTCTCCGGCCTGGGTGCAGCCTGCGAGGCACCATCACTGAATCCTCCGGGTCCCTGGATGGGCTGTAGTTATGGCAGCTGTGCTGTTCTATTGTGGATAAACGAAACCTAGCATCAGGCTGGCACAGGAGGATCTTTGAATGCCTGGGTGGAATACAGAGGGAAGGGGAATGGGAAGAAAGTAAACCTTTCTCTCATCCTCTACACACCTACCTGTCAAGGAGGTACAGGGTGGACTTCTGCTGGGGGAGAGCTCACACAGACTGGCTAAGGCCCTTTATTAGCTCCCTTTCTCGTTGCTGGCCCAAAATACCTGACAAGAGTAACTTCAGGAAGGAAGGGTTGTGGTGATATATTGTTTATGATCTATTAAAGCCACTAGAGATCAGTTTGCAAAGCCAGCCACACACCTTTAATCCCACCACTTGGATCTCTGCTAGTTCAAGACCACGCTAAGCTACATGGAATTGCTCCAGTTCTAAAGAGAAACAGCTCATACAAAGATGATCGCAGAATTTGGGATCACATGCCCTTAATCCCAGCACCAGGGAGGTATAAAAATCAAAAGGTCTCATGTGGAGAGATAGTCTCTCCAGGCACACTGAAGGGAGGTAACAGTCTGAGGCTTGGTATAGAGCTTGTGGAGGCAGGATCAGTCCTTTCAGCCTGAGTTAGAGCTGAGATCTACTGGCTTAGCTGCTTTGCTTTTGTGACTTTAGCTTGAAGTTTGAACCCCATTATCTGCCTCTGGGTTTTTTATTTTTGTGTTACAAAGGGCTGTTTGGGCTAATGGTTCAAGGGTTGAAGGCAGGGTTTAAATGAGTCCACCAGACCCAAGATAAATAGCAAATAGGTATTTATTAGGGAAGCACGTACACGGATAAGATTAAATAACCACTGCGATCTTCCTGCTTCAGAAGAGGCAGTC